GCCAGTGTGCTAGCCGCCGGAGCTGCGGGAGTGTTGGCCTGGCAGGCGTACCGTGGGGCAGCGGGACGGCATCACAGCCGTAAACCGGGGAGTGTGGCGCGACAACCGCCAGCAGCACCTGCGCAAGGTTTGGGCCGACGGCAGGAGGCACAGGTAGGGGCACTTGCCATGTTTGTGGCTGTCATTGGGGCGCGCGGAAGCCAGAAAGCAGAGACGCAGGTAGCACCGTTGTCTACAGGCGGGGCCGCAGAGGAGCAGGCTGGCGTCTCGAGTGGGCAGTGCGGTGTCGCAGGCGAGCCGAGCTTCAGGCCGGCGTCAGTGAAGCTGAGGCAGGGCAGCAATAAAGTGGCAGTGTTTGGAGCTTGTTGCATGTCGGAGGTAGTGGTGTTGTTGGCCTTGTGGTGGGAGCAGACTATGTAGTGTGCCTTGACGGTTTGGTTTGGAGCCTTTTTTTAGAGTGTTTGGGTGTTGTGGTAGAGAAGAGGGAGCAGAAAGTTTTTTTTTTTTGGCTGTCGCAGTGCTGGGTGTAGAAGAGGGAGCCCCAGGGGTGAGAACAGGCCAGGCTGCAGAGCAGTGGGGAGGGGTTGTGTGGGGCAGCCATGACACCCCACAGCCCCTGCAGGCTGCCCTGCAGAGGCTGCCTCTGCCGCTCCCACCCCCCCACAACTCACTTGGGGGGACCACCAGTGTGGCCTGCTGCTCCACTCTGGCTGCTTGGCCCCCAAGAGGGGCCCGGCACTCGGGCACTGCCCCGAGTCCAAGAGCACTGTGAATCCATAACACACCAGCTGCAGGACAGCTGGACAGAGGAGAGAAACGCGCAGAGGGCCTCCCCCTGCTAGAGGAGAGGGGAAGCGCTCCGGCACCTGACTGCCTTCTGGCCCACATGTTGCTGCATAATCACTCGCATACATTGATCCTGCCCTCCTAGGAGCCCCCTGGGCCTGCTTTTCTGTTTGCTGCCCCTCGCACTGGATTATGCCACCTGCAAGCTTCCCACAAGTCAGAGCAGGCTTCCTCACAGCTGACCTAGAGCAGGCCTCACATTCCTCAGGGAACAGGCCCTAACAACCACCCCCTTCCTGTCCCTGAGGCCTGAGACAGGGCACAGCACCCCAAAGTATGGCCAGACCTCTGCAGCCACACCCACAGCTTGGGCACTGCCAGGCTCCTGGTTCAGGCCCCTGCCCAGAGCCAAGCTCTGCCGGTGCAAACAAGTCACAAACCCATCACTCTCACACTGGGACAGACACACCTCGGCCAACCCGGGAGTACAGACTGACAGCAAGGCAGGTCCACACAGAGAGGCAAGACAAAAGCCTGCTTACAGGCTGGCCTCATGCTACAAACAAGGTGCCACTCAAGCAGCTGAAACCCCTCCAGCATTTCAGTCCAAGCCACCTGAGCACATGCCTCACCTGAGGACACCCGAGGCCCTCAGCTGCCTCAAGTACCCACACACCCCACCAGGGACACTGGGTCTCTACACTCTGTGGGCTAGCCAGCCACACCAACTCCCACCTGCCCCCCACACACAAAGCTCCCCACCCAACACCGACTGCCACAAGCCCCTGCACCCACTGCCCCCCGCCTGAGGCCCAGCCCTCCCAGCAGCACCACAGGCCCAGAGTTTGCCCTGCTGCAGAGCACCTCCACCGTGACCACCAGGCTCCTACATGCCTCACCTGTTTCCCCTAGCACAGTGGGGACAGCCCGTTCCCAGAGCCCACAAACAATCCTCCCCCCACCCAGAACCAAGGCCCCCACACGCCCTGGGAGGCCATGCCCCCTCCAAAGACAAAGCAGATCAGGGCACTGGCACACCAGCCCCCCAGCCCAAGAAGACCCTCCTCGAGCCACCCCCACTCCCACCCCTAGACCCTGACTCCACTGCCTCCCATAAAGCTAACTGCGCTTTATCATGCATCAGCAGACACACGACAAACAACCCAGGAGGCGATACTGCCCCTCTACCAGGCGCTGGTCAGACCGCAGTCGGAGTACTGCGCCCAGATTTGGGCACTGTGCTTTGAGAGGGATGCGGATCACCTGGAGAAGGGCCGCTCATTTGATTAAGGGCATGCGGCCCAAGCCCTACGAGGAGAGACTGGGACACCTGGACCTCTTCAGCCTCCGCAGGAAAAGGCAGAGAGGCAATCCTGTGGCTGTCTATCCGTTCATCCTGGGGGGCACCAAAGGGAATCGGTGAGGCTCTACTCACCAAGGCGCCCCTGGCAGTCACAAGAAACAATGGCCACAAGCTAGCAGAGAGCAGACGCAAACTGGACATTAGGAGGAACTTCTTCACACTCAGAGTGGCCAACATCTGGAACAGGCTCCCAAGGGAGGTGGTGCTCTCCCCTACACTAGGGGTCTTCAAGACAAGGTTAGATAGGCATCTGAACCCAGCACACTTTCCTGCCTAGGCAGGGGGTCACACTCGATCTAGTGAGGTCCCTTCCAACCCCAGCATCTATGAATCCACAGCCTGCACAGCAATCAGCCAAGTCAGCCCCCACAGCCCACCAGCACCAAGCAGCACACCTCCCCGTCTCATCCAACACAGCAGCACCAGGCCCCCCCAAACCTGCACCACCTCAGTTCACACCCACTCCACTGGGCTGGGGCTGGGCAGTGGGTGTGTGCAGCAGCCTTCACAGCCCCTCTGCCCAAGCCAGAGGCACCCCCCCCACATCCCCTCCCCAGGCCTCACCCAAGCGGGGCAGCCCTCAAGGCACCCCTCACCACTCCCAGCAGCACCCCAGCCCCACACCCACTTCACCGGCCTCCTCCAAACCCTTGCTCAGGAAGCACAGGGGCCACAGCATCCACGCTCCCACCTTCCCCCAACTCTTCCCAGGGATTTGCCTCAACTCAAGTGCCCTGCCCCGGCCCCCCCTCTCAGGGCCACCCCCAGCTGCAAACCAGCCTCCACGGAGACCCCCCTCTTTCCCATTTTCCCTTTCCCTCCCCTCCCCTGACAACGTTTCCAAGCGGGCCAGGCCAGGCAGAGCTGCACCTGTGCCACAGCTCCAACTCCACCCCTCTCCAGTCAGCACCAACACACTTCACTGGAGTCAATTTGCAGCAGCCTACAGGCCTCCTGCTCCTCCCCCCAAAACCAGAAAGACTAGAGGGCTCTCCCGGCGGAGGCCACGCTACACTGCCCCCCGCCTCCCGGCACCTTCCTTTACCCCAGCCCAGGGGTGCCCAGGCCCCAGCACGTTGTGCAGCACCAATTTCTAGGGCGACAATTCTAAGTACCGCCCGCACCTACTTGCCCTAGACCGGCACCATCAAAACCCCATTGCCACAGATCACACGTTGGGAACTGCTGCCCCAGCTCACTCTGCCCTCCTCCCATTCAGGCCCTCACTCAGGGCCAGGCAAACAGGTCACAAGCCCTACCTTTCACACGCCCACACCCATGGCCATTGCTCTGGGACAGACGCTTCTTGGACAGCAAACGCCAGGCAGCCCAGGAGGAGCGGCACGCTGCAAAAGACAAGGGCACGCAACACAGAGCTAAGATACCACCAGACAGCCCGCTTACAGGCAACTCCCCACTTGACCAGATGCCACCACACCTGCACAGGAACACCAGGGACCCGACCACCTGCCCTGCCCTGGCACACCCCGGCCCCTCACCCACCCACGCTCATGTCAAGCACACAGAGCGTCGGCCCCCACTCCTAGGCTCTAGCACCCCACCACTGCCAACAGAGCTAAGATACCACCAGACAGCCCGCTTACAGGCAACTCCCCACTTGACCAGATGCCACCACACCTGCACAGGAACACCAGGGACCCGACCACCTGCCCTGCCCTGGCACACCCCGGCCCCTCACCCACCCACGCTCATGTCAAGCACACAGAGCGTCGGCCCCCACTCCTAGGCTCTAGCACCCCACCACTGCCAAGTCAACAA